TCAGAGAAAGTTGGAATATGGTGCTCATTGTTAGCAATGATGTTATGAGTCCTCTGAGTTTATAAAGACACTAGTTTGTTACTCTCTGATCTCAAGGATTTTTTCAGTACTTCTAACACTGAATCTTGCCTTTCTTCCCATGGTTTGATGATGTTGTCAAACATTTTTTGAAAGGAAAAATAGCGATAAAAACAGAAGACAAATCAGGAACAAATGGGGGACAATATGCATTGTTGATGACAATGTTGGGGACCATTTTCAGAGTACATGGCATATTTTCAACTGAGGTAATGTGCACTTTTTGAATCAAAAAATGGCAATATAATAGTGGAAAAATCAGAAAGAAATTGAAGGAAGATGCTCACTGTTTGTGCAATACTGGGGAGCATGTTCAGGGTCCAGAAGAAAATTCCATACATAATAATCTAGTTAAAAATAGCTATAAAGGACTGGAAAAAATTAGTGAAAATGGAGCATAGTACTTATTGTCGCTTTCAAGGTAGGGACTCTCTGTAAGGTCCAGTATTTTATATACATGGAAATATACAATTTGTCCAATAAAAAATAGCAATAATATATATAATGGGTATAGATCTGATGGGCTTTCAGAAGGTGGTCACATGACCAGTTTCCTAAATAATCAAAAATGTGAATGCTGTGGTGCTGCATTGTGGCTTCCTGAATATAAAAAGGACTCGTATCTGCCATGCTTGCAATGGCCCTCTTACACAAGTTGGAGAGGATGACTGTGATTCAATTTCTGGGAAAAGAATCATAGGTGAGTCCACTACTTGATATGAGGAATGAATGTCCAACTAATACCTGTAAATGAAGGTCGATGCAAAGGAAAGGCTGGCTGTCTGGATTGTGCGTACAGGCCTAAGTTCATTATATCAGGAACATGGCGGAAAGACTGAATAAAAAGCAGAACACAAACCTGAGTGATGATAATGAAAGTTCATGGCGATACCAACAAAGCAGAAAGTGAAGTTGATGGTTGAGATGAACGATGGGGAAAAAAACACTAAGTCCTACACCAGACAAATTCACTCATTCACTATTTTCTATTATTTGGAGCAAAAGCAATTTATCAAGGGACACTTGTTCAATACAGCTGCAGCTATGACGTTCGATGGAATACCAAACATCCACCCTGATCCCAGCTCCAGAACGTGACCCTGCAAAGGGGTAACTGACAGAATATGCATATAACAATATACGCCACAAATGTATACTAGTGGCGTTAGAGGTTCCTCAAACCAGTTAGGGTTTTCAGAAACAGAACTGCATGACCAAATAGGGTAGGCATACAGCATTAGAACAGCATAGGTAAAACCACAGTTTTTCATGAAGTTATCACAAAAGCTAACTAATTACCTGGAGTGTCTACAATTTCAAACAAGGTTTAACAACGACCGAGAGGAACAAACAATCTATGGGTTGGTAATTTCCAAAACCCTCTAGTGAGTATTATATTGAGCTAAAGAGTGCCACAGGGATTCAAAATGCATCGGAAAATATGTCTAGCCAAGTCATCCGTTGATATCGCACCATATTTTGTCAAAAACCCTCTAGTGAGTATTATATTGAGCTAAACAGCGCCACAGGGATTCAAAATGCATCGGAAAATATGTCTAGCCAAGTCATCCGACAATATCGCACCATATTTTTTTCAAAAACTCTCTAGTCAGTATTATATTGAGCTAAACAGCGCCACAGGGATTCAAAATGCATCAGAAAATATCTAGCCAAGTCATCCGACGATATCGCACCATATTTTGGCAGGGCTCATCAACCACTGCAGATCTGTTGGTAAGGCCACCAAAAACTCCAAGAGAATCAAACCCACCCCACCTTCTGTAGTTGGAACACTTTACCAGTCACAGTACATCGTTCACTACAATGGATTCTTTTTACAACAAGATAGAAGCATGCAAGTACCCTCTTTAACTGGATGTGTAGAGTCACTAATTTTATATACTAGGTGATCTGCTTGAGGCCGTCATAACTGCTAGGACAACGAAGGGTCCAAAGGTTGTACAATTGGCGTATTTTAATTCGGTGAGCAGTGGTATAGTGTTATAGATTATCTGAGACATACTCACACCCCAATAACAGGTGGATGGAATGTCTGATTTACTTGTGTAAGAGGCCATTGCAAGCATGGCAGGAACGAGTCCTCATTTCCAAGGCCATTATTGCCCTAGACTCTAAACAGGGTACCCTAGCATCATCATCAATGTGTAGCATGCTAGTAAGTATCCTACCTATCCTACCTATCTACCCTTTCTACCTCCTGAGACTTGCCTCCATTGATTGACCCATATGCCCACTCTTCATTCTTTGTATCACCACACATTACGCTTTATGTAATCACTGTAATTTACCTTGTGTATGTACATAAAGAAATGATATCTTCTTGCCACCACTTGTACCTCTTATATCACTTGGATACTCAAGCCCTACCAATAGCTTTACTTCAAGCTTTGAGAGATCAGCAGTCAGACATCAAAAACTTCATTGTCACAATCTCCACTGGGACTGTTTGTGGAGATCAGAGTATGACAGTGCTGAACAGTCACATTCTATGATTCCGAGCATGCAACTAAGCTGTTTAGACTAACTTGGTGAGTCCTCACACCTTTGATCATTGTAGTCCACTAGGCATTCCAATGACTGTCCCACTACCTGAGTGATCACTATGTCAAGTATTGGTTCCACAATGATAAGAAACATTTCTATGTTTTTCCCAATTTTTGCTCATTTTATAGTAATATGTAGATTGAGTACTATATTAACTAACTGTTGCATAACATTATCACTAACAGTAAAGCAATATCCTCCAATTTTCTCTGAAATTTGTGCTATTTTATGACTATTTTCCGATAGATTACCATATTGGAA